AGGGACCAGACGGCCCTTAGCAAAGGGCCCCGGACCCCGTACTCCCGGAGCACCCCCCACAGGGCGCTGCGAGGGACACGGTCAAATGCCTTCTCCAGATCCACAAAACACATGTGGACTGGTTGGGCAAACTCCCATGAACCCTCCGCCACTCTGAAGAGGGTATAGATCTGGTCCAGTATTCCACAGCCAGGACGAAAACCGCATTGTTCCTTTTGAATCCAAGGTTCGACTATCGGTCAAATTCTCCTCTACAGTACCCTGAAAGTAGACTTTCCTGGGGAGGCTGAGGAGTGTGATCCCCCTATAGTTGGAACACATCCTCCGGTCCCCCTTCTTAAAAAAAGGGACCACCACCCCGGTCTGCCAGTCCAGAGGCACTGTCCCTGACCGCCATGCGACGTTGCAGAGGCGTGTCAACCAAGACAGCCCAACAACATCCAGAGACTTAAGGCACTCAGGGCGAATCTCATCCACCCCCGGTGCCTTGCCAGGGTACTGGAGAGGAGAATTCGACCGATAGTCGAACCTCGGATTCAGGAGAAACAATGCGGTTTTCGTCCTGGCCGTGGAACACTGGACCAGCTCTATACCCTCTTCTTAAAGCCACACTGAGTTATACGTCTGTAGCTTTTAAAGTCAGACAAATGTCTATTTCAAAATAAGGGGTTTTCAACCAGTGGTCTTCTTGTAGTCTGAAAAGGCATTGCAGGTGGTCTCCAATTATGCATTCAGTAATGTAAATGATCTTATATTTTGTATAGCTCCCTTCTATGCTTTACAGCACACTCAAAGTGCTTTCACACTATTTGGCCAGTCACCCATTCGCACTCCCAAACACTCACACATTGGTGTCATCACCGGGAGCAACTGGGGGTTCAGTGTCTTGCTCAAGGACACTTCAACACATTGACTGGACGAGCCAGAAATCGAACAACTAAAACTCCGGTTAGGAAACAACCTGCTCTACTTCCTAAGCCACAGCTGCCCCCACTGGTTTCACTGTAGATTTTTCTCTAGTCCTTTCCATGTATTACCTGTGGTTGGTGAATAATCAAATTTATGCAAATATATAACATTTATAAAAGCTGAAATGACTTTGAGAATTAAAACAGTGTCTATCTGGTGCAGCAACCCCACAACTGTGGTCTTTGGGTTACTTCTTAGTCAGAATGGTGGTCCCTGGGTCACAACCAGTTGAAAATCCCTGACCTAGCACCATGAGATTTTTTGGTTTGCCCAACACTTGTCTTATAACTAAATGCTTGTCAAATGTTTGACATTCCCACCAGAATCAGCTGTATTTGGTGTTTAGTATTAAATCTTATTTTAGCATGCTAACATTTTAAATACCAATTCCTGTTTTACATTTGCCCACCACCCCACACCCACCTTTTCTTAGTCAGCCTCATGGTGACACACACACTTGATAAAACTGCAAGAGGCAGACAGCTCAGCACATTTCATGATCTGAAGTCTGCTAACGCTCACCAGATATGACCTTCACTTTGTCTCTGTGGCACAGAGTTTGCTCTGAAACTGCACACATCCTCTTCCCTTTTTTGGTAAGATCCTTGGAACAAGTTGTCTTTAATTCCTATGAGGGAAAAAACAATGCAGGATTCCCTGCAGATCTTAGATCCTTCATATATTTAAATTGGATGAAAGGAAGGAACTGTTGGGATAAAATCACTCAAGCAAGTCCCCAGAGTATTTATTGTTTAAGGTCACTTGTCATTGCTAAAATGGATAGTGCTGTTTTGAATCCATAATGGGCAGAACAGTGCAGGATTTTTCATAAACTGTTCTAATCTTGGTTGAAACCCATAATGTTGCAACTAATATGAATTAGTCCTTAAATTGATGCTAAGGAATAACTCCAAGGTAGTGTCATGTTGTATGTACAGTATGTAACATCTATATTGATGACAGGCATAACATTTTCTTTCGTGATGGTTGATCTATAAGGATGAAAGTCTGAAATGTGAGAACACAAAGTTATAGAAGACTGGAGAAAGGGAATGGGTAATACTGGCATTAGCTTGAGTTCACAGATTACTTTAAATAGTTCGTTTGTTGCTTGTAACAACACACTTAGCACAAATACAAAATTTAACAACTAAATAAAAATACTAACAGCCTATCAGAGTGCTTGAAGATCAGACCCCTTCTGTGTTTACAGAGGTAGTCTTTTCATCTTTCTTCATAGTTGCCATCATCTTTATTGTGGCCTCATCCAGCTCATCATCACCTGCAGTCCATCTATTGAATCTTCATTCTCAAATTTATCACATTACTGTCTTTACTTCATTTCATGTTCACAGTCCCTCTTGAACCTTCCCGTTCCTGTTTACCCTTTGTCAGTCACTCAGGAGAGATTGACCCCTTCAAGCAGGTGGATTAATCTTCATTATATCCAGGCTTCCTCTAAACTACAGAGTGTTCATTGTGGTGGTGGTGGTGATGCAGCACTGTGTGGTTGATGGATGACGCCGATCGATCAGATACCTCTGCCGCTGTCCCGTTGACGCTCTCCTGCCGCTGACAGCACAGGATCTGCCTGAAGGTGGCGCTCATCTCCTTGTCACGGTAGGAGTAGATGATTGGGTTCATTGCCGAGTTGAACTCGGCGAGAAGTAAGAAGAACTTTTCGTATGTGAGGACATTGCAGCTGGAGCAGAAAACATCGAGGAGGAGGATGACAAGCCCGGGGGTCCAACAGACAATGAATGCACCTGAGAAGACAGCAGAGGAAAAAAAACAGAGTTTAAACTGGTGCTGTCTTTTAGGAATATCAAAAACATATATTGAAGTAGCACACAACACTGGTTTGGGCTTTTTTATTTACCTTTGTGATGATTTTTGATTTGCCTGTCTTTGCACATATAGTTCTGATTACTAATGAGTGACCAGGCTTGTGTTTGTATGTATTCTAATTCCTGGCACCACAACACTTCCACACTTCTTGTATTCTTGGACTTTAAAAGTTGATGAGTCATAATACAGTATTTGAAAAGTGGTGACTTGGTTTAGTGTCAGATGTTTGATTCACACATGGACATAAAGTTGACTAATGAAGATTTGAAAAAAGGACCAAACATGGCTTTTCACTGTCACCGTAAAATGCATACATTGTTATCTAGCTGATTAACATATTTATGAATGCATTTTTAATTAAATATTTTGACACCCTGTGTTTAAATCAGGCAGACATTTGTCTTTGCCCTTCCTATGGGAACCAAGACAAGGTAAAAATTCTAAATAATAAAAGAATGGGTGTAAGACTTATACCCTGAAACTGACAGGAAGGCATAACATAAAGTGAAGCCACACCAGCTTAAAGCCAGTGCTGGTTGTTCCTGGTCTGTTTTGAAACAAACAACAGTCATTATACAACCACATTAACACTTAACAGCCACAAAACTGTCCATCTGCACAACAAAAACAGATTTCTACATCACTCTATAACCACATGTAAACCTTTCTGACATATTGTGAGTGCAAAGTATGTTAAGTGAACAATCAAGGTTGTCTGTTGGTTGGAGATAGGATGGGATTCCTAACATCTTAGGAGATCAAGGTTAACAGCCTCAGCATCCTCCATTATCATTATCAACAAAAACGGGTATGCCACTGCCTCATTTTTGCAGCCATATCTGTACTAATCCATTATCATATCTACAACCTCTTCTTAACCTCATGTGAGTGATTGCAATAGATCATCATTCCTCTGATGTGATGAAGTGTGTTAGCGCCACTGCCTCATTACTCATGAATGTCAGGCTCAAGTGAATTTAGTCATCAGATGCAATTTGTCATAACAATAAGACAACCGTGGAAGAGTAAACTCTAGGTAAGCAGAGATAAGAAAGGAGGGGAGATCATATTGACAGGCAGGCCTGTTATCTGTTACTGTTTTGCAGGCGGCAGCTGCATCTAAGGCGTGACCTCATTTCCCAGCTATGCAGCAGACTTTCCAGTGTCAGATACATTTCTCAAATGTTTCACAGCCCAGCAGAGAAACTATCTGAATTATTTGCCTCCCAGGGAAACATTTTACTATGACAGCACTTAACACAAGAGACAACTTATCCTAAAACTATTAATGTAATTGTTTTAAGTCATCATGTTTCCTGCCTTCACCAACACTGCATCATATTGTGTGAGTGCTGATGTAAACAGTATAGTCACAAAATTGATCCTAATCCTAGCTTACATTCTTGGCCGAGTAAGGCATAAACTATGTCAAAATAACAACCTAAAACAAAAACCTTCCCACAGGTTTCTATATTTTTTCATTCATAAAATAGCAGGACCTGCTGCTGGAGGGTTACTGGATGTTTGTCCTAATTTTCCCTCCCAATGAAGATGAAAAATAAATCTTTCAATGAAACTACGACCTCAGAGGTTTCACCCTCAGTGGCTTTCAGTTCCTCTCTGAATACAGGATATATGGTTCTTGTGTTACATCCTTTATCTGAAAATTGCTTCTTTACATTTCCAAAAATGTGCCTGGTTTACCATGACCACATGGAGCAGCATTGCCACAAGAGACTCACTGAGAAGAAACCAGAGGTTTTGTTTATGGACAGAAAAGCTGCATTTTATTTATTTATTTTGTTTTATTTATTTATTTATTTTGTCTGGTCATTTTGCCTTTTCAGTACTTAAAAAATGCAACATGGAGTGCATACATAAAGTGACTTGAGAGATGAAAAGTCCATGAAGGAATAAACACATTTCTAAAACAGGCTTGGAAAATTACCACTTTCTAGATATTTTTGATCACCATGAAGCTCCACAATGCAATAGGTCAACAACTACAACTGTCACAATCCAGTGATTAAAAAAAAAATACTGAAGGACTTTGAGGACAGGTTGACAAGAGTAGTTTTACATTAAAATCTTCATTGAGACCTTTTGGAGACATGGGGCATTAATCCAGAAGGTTTCAAGAACGGTCAAAACAGAACTGTTCAGTCCTGGGAAGTTTGAAGTTGAAAGTCAAATATTGACTTTCTATCCCAGTATTTTCATTTCATTTTTACCTTTTCCTGGTGAAAATGAGCTTCCATAAATAAGTGGGGAAAAAAAAGAACGGAGACCAGTCTACGGCAATGAACTCCACAGTCCGACAAACTCCCATTCACATTTTTGCAAAATTGAGGGAAGTCATGGACAAACACACAATGGTACACAAACACACACACACACACACACACGCTGTGCTTTTATTCCTTTTGGGGACTTTACACTGACTTGCATTCATTTCCTGTAGACTTATCCTAACTTTATCCATAACCACTACTTTCCTAACACCTAACCCTAACACCTAACACTTAATCTAACCTCACCCTAACCTTAACCCATGTTGCCACCCTAAAATTCAGTGATTTCCTTGTGGGGACCGCCCTCTTGTCAAGTCCCCACAATGTGAGTGTTTTGACAGGTTTCGGTCCCCTAAATGTAAGTAATACAGATACATAATTATACACAGCACAAAGACAGATGGTGGAGCACTGAAGGACCTTGTGAAAACATTTGGAAGGTGTTGGAAGGTGTCCATGTCAGGTTTGCTCGGCCGCTCTGGCCTCCCTCACCTTTCCTACTGTCTCTTGCCCATTTACACTAATCACGTTCACCTGTTCCTCACTCCCTTATCACCAGCTGCACTTGATTAGGTTGCTCACTATATTACTCGGTTTTACTCCTCAGTCACTTGCCAGTTCTTTTTAGTCACTAGGCCAACTTTGCTCCTGCGTTTTCATTGTTTTTTGTATGTCCTTATCCCCTAGCCAAGCTACTGTTTTGTGTTTCCCCGACGGACTGTTCCTCCGGACCGTGGCTCCACTCTCTCCTCCAAGGCAGGTCAATGCACAGTCGCCTATCTATTCCACTATTGCCTCCATCTCGCTGTCTCTACCTCCATCTCCTCGCCTCCTGCGGTTGGTCAAACACCCGGCTACTACTCATCTACAGGACTACGTACTATTTCCCTCTGTGTATTGTCACTCCTTTGATCATTATATATATAATAAATCGTTGTTTGCACCAAAGTCGGCTACCTGGGTCCGCCTCTTTCCTCGTTCGCACTGACTGGTGCGAATGGATCTTAACAGTCCACTGAATCCCAGCATGCATAACCTTATGTTCAACATTAGAATCATTATTATGAGCAAAGATTTCAAGGTCTTAATCTGTCTCTGCACCTCTTCTTCAGATTAGGATATGTGGATCTCTTTCGTAATCTAACTCTGTGTGTGTGTGTGTGTGTGTGTATACAGTATAGATATATATTTTTATTCTCCTAATGCACATCCCTTTTTCTTGTTTACACTCTTTTTATTTCTTTTTTTGTTCACTCAGTCTTGTTTATTTGTTTACTCATTGCCTTATCAAAGAACATTGTACATACCCATTGAAAGCCACTGTACCAAAGTCAAATTTCAACACACCTGGCCAATAAAGCTGATTCTGATATTGACATTGCTTTTCAAGGTTACTCACATATTGTTTATTCTTTTCTAGTGACACTAGCTTTTTCTATTGCCCTCAGTTATGAGTAGTATGATGCAGAATTAGATAAATATGAGGTTAAATGGTTTAAAGGATCGTGATGGTGGTTTTACTTTTTTTTTTTGATCAAGGACTTGCCAAAAACAAATTGTTGCCACATGACTGATAATGTGTCATTCAAACTATGATAAAAATTGCTTACTATTAGGGAAACATTAATCAAGGTTAAAGACACAATTGTGAACTGGTGATAGAAGAAGGAAATTAAATGTTTTCTCCCATGTCCACATCCCTTGACTGGTACTCCCCACCATCCACCACAGGCTACTCCCTAAGAGGTTTTGCAGGTCTAGAATAGCAACATGCTACTTCCACTTTTCCTTATGAGTGAAAACAAGACCACATGAGGGAGAAAAATCTATTAATATTTATGTAGATCAAATAAAAAAGTATAATTGCAATACTTCCCATAAATCTCTGATCCTTTGTCACATTAGCATAAAATCATTTAAACCATAATTACAAGAAACCGAGCAACATAAACGGCATCAGTCTTCAACATGTAATTCAGGACTAGAACTACTAGGAATTTCTAACACTGGCACTATATCCTACTTTTTGAAAAGAGCTACAATTATGTCAGAAACGGTTCGCTACCACCAGGTTGAGGTTCAGGTTACTTTCATTGGTACCCAAAGGTAGATTCATTTTGCAGCAGAGTGACATTCTTCAACAACAAAAAAAAACATACAACATATTGTATATTAACCATAAAAACTGAAACACAACAAACAAAGTGCCACAGCTTATTAAAGTCAGTAATAGCAGCAGGAACTAAACTTTTTTTTACCCTGCTTCGTTCTGCATCTTGGTCCTAAGTACCCCCTTCTCGACGGGAGAGGACAGAACTCTTGAAACAAGGGATGTGTATTTTTTAGAATAGAGGAAGTTATCCTCGGTAACTGTTTAGTATACACTTGTACTTTTACTGGCACTAATATAATTAATTAGACCGGAAGGTGCAGTAGCTGGTTTCACTTGACAACAAATTGCTACAAACACATAACAGTAATGCAACTTTAGGTTAGCATAATTGGAATAATGTGTGAATACTCCCAAGTCAGAATAGGTCAGGGGTGTTTTTCCTGTTTTTCCCCATTCTGCCGACATTATGGTGTGAATGAAACATTATGAAGCTGTGTCTCACGCCGCTGTGAGT